CTGTTGAACCTGTTACTGCCTCGCAGTGGTGCGCATGCGTGCTAACTGTCCTGCAGGAGCGCCCGGTACCGTGCGCCTGCTCAAAGCCAATACTCGTCGTTCCTCCACCCCCGGTCAACGGATGGAGTGAATGTGCCAGGTCCCAAGCGAACTGCCCTTCGCCCTCACGTGGGTGTTATTTTTTTAACTTATCGTCGACCCAGGTGCACAAACAAACCCCGCGTTGGAAAATGGCAGAGAAGCTGGGTTCTCTGAGCGAAGAGCCCGAAGCGCAGGAGCCCGCTGGAGGTAGCGTGAGGGTCCACGGTGGGCGCCTGCGGCCAGGGCTGCAGGGAGGGGCTCGGACCCTCGACAGTAACGACTAGGGTAGCAGTAGTTTAAAAATGAAATTTTAAACCTTTTATTATTGAAAGAAAGCCGTTGCACACCGKGGCATTAAGTAACATGCACAGTCTCTTCACCCAGATTAACTCTCGTCAACTTTGTTAAACATGTTGCTTAGGTGTTTTGTAGTAAGTAATTCGGTGTGCATATCTTCAAACAAAACCGGGAAGGGRTGTTCTAGCAAAACTCACCCAGCTGTTGCCACCTCTAAGAAAATTAGCTTATTCTCCAGTGTCATTATTTCATACCAAGCCTAGATCGCATTTTACAAAAATTCTTAAATCTCCTAATGAGAGTGGCTTTTCCACAGCTTTTCTCAAATTGGCTTTGAGTTAATCATAATAGCTCATCCAGAGTAGTGATCGGGAGGTGGCRTGGCCCGGGGACTCTTGGAAATTACAATCTAGCCAAAAGGAAGGGGGAAAAAAACAAACAAACAAACAAAAAAACTTCCCAGGGCTTAAGTAATGTACTAAGATGCTGCTAGTGATTTTGTGTTAAAGAAATTTTCAGAATGTACCAAAGTCAAGAAAAAGAGCATGATGAACGCCTTAGTACCTGTCACTCTGCTTCACGGGTCTGAGTTCCAGCTTTCCTCGATCTCTAACTCCCCTTCCTGCACACCCTTCACCCCTCTGTATGAATAAGCACATCAGGCTGCAACTTACAAGACTCACCTATGCAGACATCAAAATGATGATGATCTTCTTGTCTATTATCTGTCCTAGGATGTGAGCCTCATGAGAACCGAGACTGGTCCTTGCTGTTTTCTAGCACCTGAAACAATGTTTGGCACATAGTTGGTGCTCAGTAATTTTTTAATTGTGTGAATAATGAAATAATTTGAATACAGATTATTGTCTTAGATTAGTCCAGCTTTCAAAAAAAAGGATAGAAATAAGGCAGATGCAAATAGATCCCATTTATTAGGCTTTTAATATCGAGGCCACTGATTTTTTAAAAAATTTTTAATATCAACCTTTCAAATTCCTCAGTTAAAGTTATGATTAACTTCATCAGCAATGGARAAAATTGAAAATCATCAAGTTACCATTTCTAACCCATCAAATTGGCTTTATAAAGGAAGGGATAATATCTGGCATTGATTACTCTGTGGAGATAACAGGCTTTCTTTTGCCTAAGAGGAGAACTGACCAGAAAGGTTTTGCTAGGGGCAGTTTGGCAGCATGTGTGTAGTATCATCTCAGTCACCATGCTAGGTTGATGTAGGAGAGGGGACAGCTGCATGAACCAGGAGTGGTCTTCAGAATGTCATTAATGGAGGCAAAATACAAGGAGTAATTCAGCAATTGCTAAATCTCGGTATGTTCATGTACATTGGGGGTGCCCGTAGGTGGGTTATTTTTTAAGAAGCGGAAAAAATAACTTCTAAATGGATATGATCATTGTTCATTGACAATAAGCTCCAAAGGAAGTCATCATCACTAGTGAAGAGGGAGATGGTCAGGTATCGCCTTTAGTGTGTTAAACACAAGAAATGAAGAAAACATACAGCCCAGCTGGTAGCTCTGGACAGGGGACTAGGATTTGGGGATGGTTCAGAGCAGAGGCATTTCTGTGATCTATTGTTTTGTTTTTCTTTTCAAAAAATGTAGGTATTACTGTGTGATTCTAAAATACAAGGGGGAAAGAGGGAAAAGTGAATGGCATCTGAGGCTCATATACTAATACTGGATCAATATTAATATCCAGATTTCGATGGTCGTACTGTGGTTACTTGGTGGAGTCCTGTGTATATAGGAAGCATACACTGGAATATTAAAAGAGTGATGGACCAAATGACTGCGACTCGTGGTTCAGAAATACTCACAATGGGGAATCTGATAGAAGAGCAAATGGGAGCACTGTGGCCTGTTGTGACAACTTTTGTTACATGTGAAATTTATTTCAAAATAAAATGTTTCAAAGGGGATTCATACTTCACAGGCTGCTTCCTGCTGTCACATGCAACTTTTAAACATTTACAAGATGTTAGATTCCTTAAAAGATGGATATCTCTTTSTCTTGGCCTCATGTCTAGCACTAGAACATTGCAGGGAAGAAATACACAGGTGAGCTTTTGCAGAAATAGTTGCCAGAACCAGCTAGGAAAGACAGGGGACAATTGGGGGACATTATATGTGTCTGAGCATTATGTGATATTACATGATGATTTTTCACCTTTTTGGGTGTGATTTTAGGACTAGGGTTATTCTAGAAAATGTCTCAAAATTATGCCTGGGGATGAATGGCAAGGCGCCTGCGGCTTGCTTGAAGATACTTGAACACAAGGAAAGAAGCTGAAGCGAAAGTGGGTGAATAATCACACTTGTCAGCTCTGGGCCGTGAGCACCTTGGAGTCCACAATGGCGTCCTTGTTCTCATGTGCATTTGAAATTGCTCACAAAATCTTAAAACATTGACAAACACTTCTCCTTGTTACTTAAAGTAGTTTTGGTTTCCTTTCTAAAAATTAAGAATATTTTAATGATTAAAATGTCTCAAGAGGAGACTACCAGCTCAGTGTGATTGTATCTGGGCGGAGAGATGGAGGGCCAGGGAGAGAAGGGGGAGTGCCATTCTTAACTTCACGTATTTCTGTGGTGCATGAACTTTCTTAGAATGTTACTAGCAAGAACTGAACAGTTGAACTATCACTAAATTGCTGGCCATTTACTTCTGGGAAGGGGATGACTTGGAGAAGAGGCTCTTGGTGATAGGAGACTTTTAATTCCATGTTCTGCATTTGTTCATTATTTAAGTAGTTTACAAATTAAAATGCCCAATTAAACTAATTTATAAAAGATTTCAGGCCAGACCAAAGAATGTAAAGAAGGTGAAGGTAGAGATGCCATCAAACACTTCAACAAAATAAGCTCAGGTTACAAAACTCTGATTTACAATATGATTTTTAAACCACTAGAGAATTTCATCCTACAAATAGGCTGTAGTTAACTAAACCCCTAAGCAATCTTTAGGTCACTTCTTAATTTAGGATTTCAAATATTGAAGCAATAAACTCCTTGCCCATCATTCTTAACTATTTCCTTAAGATGTGTTCCTCAGAGTGGAATTTCTGATGCAGAGGAGATGAGGAAGTCCTTGATATTAACGCAAGATGTGGAATGAAACACCATTTCTGCCTATCAGATGGGCAAAAAAGGAACGGGGTTGAAAATTATAGTTGGCAGGTAAGAGTAGGGGGAAGGTTCCTTTGTGGGCCTCAAAAATGTGGAGGGCAAGTTCATAATATGAGCCAGTTTAAATATTAAGCATAACCTTTGTTGCCACAGGTGGCCCCTGCATCATGTTCTTGGGGTATCTAGTTAAATACACACAAATACAAACACAAAGAAGGATGTGCAGGGATGGTGTACTAGGTAAAATTGAGCTCCTCCCGAGCTTTATACCCACTAGAATCTCAAAATGTGGCCTTGAATGTAGGGTCTTTGCAGGTACAACTATTTGAGATGATAAGGTGTGTTATAATTCAATAAGAAGAAGGAAATATGGGCACAAAGATCTACACAGAGAGAATAGTATCTGGTGACAGACAAGGAGGGAAGGCCTGGTTTATGGTACTTTGTTCCAGCAGCTAAGAAAAGCAATATGGGTGGCCATTGTGGCACTGTGTGTAAATAACAAAAGGAGGGAAACAGCCTAGAAGTCCATCAGTAGGAGACTGCTCTTAAATTATGGTATATCCAGGCAGTGGAACATTATGTGGCCGCTAAAAATAATAAGATCACCAGTATACATTGTCAAATGAAAAAATACAAAAYGTGTATAATCATGTAAAACTTACTACCATTTCCACAGAAAATGGAGTATATGTTTGATTATGAATTAAATGGCTTGTAACAGTTATGACCTCTGAGGTTGGGAGTAGGGGTTCCTAGAGTGTGAAGGAGAGAGGCATTTCACTAGATGCTGTTGTGGGAAAGCATTTCTGTGTTCACTTTTTTGCTACTGTACGTGTGTATGGGCTGCTTTTCTGCCTCATTTTCCTTGGGGAGAAATGGTCACTGGGTCTTGACCTTTTCTCATTGGTTTAAAGAATTTAAGATGTTTTGAAAGTGCTAATATTTTCCTGTGGGTTTTGTGGTTGTTGTTTAAAATTTAAAAGTAATAAAGTCTCCATGTTAAAATGTATACAGAAGTATATATGGTGAAAAGTGCCTTTGTTTCAGTCGGGATCCAAATAAGGCCTATTGGTTGAATGTTGATGGATACCTGCCTCAGTACAAGGTTTTCAACATAGAGTTTTCCTGATCCTTTATTTTCACAGTTTATTTGTTGAAGAAAACAGGTTTTCCTGCAGTTTCTCACAGCCTGCATGATAATGATAATGATGATAATGTCTCCAAAGGTGTCATTTATAATGTTCACCAGCCCTTTGTATTTCCTTTGAAGTAGTATTAAGATAAGGAAGCCTGGGGTGATTCCCTTTATTTTGTTTATTATAGGGGGGGAGATTCCCCTTTAGTAGTGTTATGTTCTCAAGAGGCTTATAACATCCCGTGGTTATTTTTATTAATGTTAGCAACCATGCATATCCTTGTCTGCCCGATTGCATTGGTTGACCTTCAGAATAACATTGAAGAGCAGCAGTAGCAAACACCCCCTGCTCTCATTCATGAGTTTCATTAAGAGAAAAGTGGTTATTAGAGATTCTGCTTCATCCAGCACACCCTTGAACTTCAGGGACAAAAGACAGGGGTACTATTGCAGGGGACCTGCTTTGTCTGGAAATGTGACCATCTGCGTAGCCTAGGCTTCCACCCAGAACTGTCCACAGAGCCCACAGGAACTTCCTTCCTCCCCTTCCAKATGGGCCTGGACCTTCCCTCCACCCCTTCTCTCTCTCCTTGAATCCTGTAATTCTAGTTTTCATCTCCACAGGGCAGGACAAGTCTTCAAAGAAGACGGGAGATTTGCTGGCAATCGTGAAGAAACTTCAAAAAGGTCTTGTGTCTAGGATCTAAACCTTGAATCATAAACATGCTTCCAACCCGGATCCCTTTACTCACAACCTTGAACCAAAAAGAGAGCCCCACACTCCAAAATTCAGGAAGTCTAAGAGAATGGAAAACCGACTCTGCTTACACACACACACACACACACACACACACACACACACACACCAGTCAGCCATTTCCTTGGGTGAGCAACAGCTGCTTTTAAGTTGTTAAGTATCTTTACAGAGACTTGAAAACAAATACATTCCTAGGCAAATATTCCTTTGTCTTCCCTTTGATGTACAAGCAGCAAGTGGCCATGTTGCAAAGGGCCTGGGGCCAGCTTGCAGGTACCCACATCAGGGTTGGAGCAGAGTGCTGGCGCTGGGGAGGCTGAGGTTAGACCCCAGCCCATTCTCAGCTTTGGATGCTGAGCTCCACTGGTCTACGCCAAACAAAAGGGAGCCCCTCCCCCATCCTGTGGCTCCTGCAGAAGAATTTGGGGCCCCTGCCTAGACTGACCCTGTAAGAAGATGACCCRACCTTCTCCAGTAAAACAAAGGACCCCTCAGCCCCCAGAGACTTGTCAGATGTGATAGCACTGCAAAGAGGCCCACTCTCTGAAAGGTACAGGTGGAGGAGTTGGTGATCTCAGAAAACCCAAGCTGAGTTTATATTAACTCCACACTGTCTTGGGTTGGCAGTGAGGCCTGCCAAGGGTGGGGCAGCTTTACGCTCAGCTCTGCCCACTCAGTTTACCCACCATGGAGCCAGAGAGGGATGGGACTTCTCCCTACAGTGCACTGAAACAGGGACTGAGAAGTGAGAGGTGACTCCTAAAGGGACAGTGATCTCCCTGTCACCGGGGAGCTGGCCAGCCACCACCTGCAACATGAAAGCCTTGCTCTCCTTTCTCAGGAGGCCAACCTCAGAGTCCAGGTTAGCAGAAGCTACCTGCTCTGCCTAGCTGTTCCCAGGGTGGGCCATCCAGGAAGCCTCCACTGGCTCCTGCCTCACTCAGGATGGCATCTATGGCCTCCACGGCCCAAGGGGCCCTGAGTGACCTCCCCTCCCACTTCCTCCTGCTCCTCTCCACCTGCTGGCTAGACTCCACCACACCAGCCCCTCCCTGCTGCCTGGGACACAAGCCTCCCCGACTCCTACCGCAGGGCACCTCTGCTGGAACGGTTTCCTCCCCACGCTCTCCCCCCACAGACCCCACTTGACTTGGACTTTTCAAATCTCAAGAAGCAGCCTTTACCCTGTCATTCTTCAACACCTCCCATCGGGTTATTTCCCTGCACCGCAGCCACTGCCACCCCAACTCACTCATATGTCTCTGTTCAATATCCTTCTCCCCCATCCAGAATGTAAACCCTGCAAGGCGCCTGGTRCAGTCCCAGCACACAGCAGAGGCTCAGTAAATATCTGTTGATTGATAGCAGCAGAGGCCCAGGGCCAGCACACACCACCCCCTGCTCCTGCCCTGCACGGCCAGGCATCTGTCTTTTCCCACTCAATCCTTCTTCCTTTCTTTAGAGGGAAGCCTGGAGCCACAGATTGGGGATCTGATTAACMGGATCAATGAGCTTCAGCAAGGTAAACTGGGGAACCTGACTGGCCAGCTGGGCCAGCAGGAGAGGCCTGGATGTTGAATGCCCCCGGGTCCACTGTAAAAGCCAGGCCCCTCCAGGGCTGTTTGGAGAGAACATGTCTTGGTGTGTGGTAGCACAGCAAGGCCAGAGGCTGCCCTAACACAGTCTGCTTTCTTTCTTCCTTTGGCCCAGCAAAGAAAGCCAACGAGGAACTAGGAGAGACCCAAGCTCGCCGGGAGGTCTTGTGTAAGGAACTAGATTCCTGTAAGTGGGGACAAAAGAGGGGCCCAGAGATCCTGTGACCACTGCTGGTGTTCCTGCAATGGCTCAGGGCCTTGGCAAAGCTCTTAGCCCTCCCAGTCCAGACTGCCTCTTGCTCTGTGACGTCGTCTTTCAGCTCTCAGCTGGAACAGCCCAATAGGCCCAACTTGATGGGATCGTCTAAAATTAGACTCCCACCCTCTTTCTGTTCCTCTCACTCTCCTGATTGATCTGCCGTTTTTCAAAGCATTTAYTCCCACCTGACAGGTCACTGACTTCTTTATGGTCCTCTCTCTCCTCAGTGTAAACTCCGTACAGGCTTCAGGGTGCTCACTCCTTTGGCACTTACAGGGAACGTGGTCCCTGAGGTGAAGCGGGGTCAGGAATTTCCCCGGGGGAGATGGGTACAGAGGTAGTAAGAACATATCCTGCCTCTCCTGGGGCCATGCCATCACTCCCATGTGATTTTGCCCTTGACATGAAGGGGACATGGGATGTGGCCCCAAGGAACTAAAAGTGTCGTTGTGCTTTCCAGTGAATGGAGAGAAGGTGCACATCGAGGAGGTCTTGAGCAAAAAGCAAGGTATGTACCTGCTGCTTCATGTTCCTCCTTCTAACCCCACTTCACAGAAACCCAGTCCCCAGAGCAGCCAGAGGAGTCCTTCCCACTGAAACCCAAGTCCCTGTTGTGCTCAAATCCCTCCTGGCTTGCCTCCTCACTTGACATACACACCCGAGTCTTCTCAGTACCTCCCAGTGCCCAGCGTGATRTGGGGCCCCTCGCCTTTTCCCAACCCTGGGCCCCCAAGAGCTCTCACAGCGCCATCTTGGTTCCTCTCTCCACAGAGGCAGTGATGATCCTCCGGCAGCACTGCCAGGAGAGGGACAGTGAGGCGCCGAGGTAAGAGGCCTACCCCAGCTCTGCCCAACTCCTTCTCCACCCTGAGGAGGAGGGAGCAAGAGTGAGGATGGAGAATCTTGACTCCACACCCCTCATGGCCCTTTCTGTAGTACAGCATCCAGASRAAACTTCCCTGGTCATTTAGTTTTCTAAATGGTGTCAATAAGAGTGATTGAACAGTTTAGAAACTTGTTACTRACTTCTTTGTCAAATAAACTCCACCCACTGTTGTTAGTCTCTCCCTATGACCCATCCAGCTCTTCCATCCATCCATTCATTTATCTGTCTGCTCATTGTAGGTCCCCAGTCATCATTTCACCTGCCTGTCCATCTGCCCCACCCCCGCTCACTCATTCATCCATTCACCTACCCAGAGAGCCAGCTGCATCGTCCAATGGCCATACCTTCAATCTCCCGTCTAATCCTCTTCTACCCATCCAACCAGGCATTCATCCTCTCTACACCTTTCCCATTATCCCTTCATCTAGCCATTTATTTCTTCYCCAACCACCCATCCAAAGATCTATCCGTCCTTCCACAGTCCTTCCATTATTTCTCCATTGAACCATCGTCCCTCTGCTCATCATCTCTCCTACAACCACTCATCCATCCAGTTAATTGTTCATCCATTCTTCTCTTCGAATCTTACTTAGCACCGTCCTATGAAAAAAGTCCCATGTCCCGGGACACCATGACTTTAATTGCATAGAGAAACTTGATAATAGGTACTTAATGTGTGTGTATGCTTAACCACACAGCATGCAGTCTGGTGAATGTTTATGTTCATTTATTTACCTAATCCTCACAATATACCACTAGCAYAATATACCACTAGACCCAGAAAAAGGAATAAGTAAACTTGTCCAGGGTCACAGTGGAGTAGAATMTGTAGGCTTCAAGTCAGGATTTTAGAATGCATTTTACTAAATTACCACACCCCTAATAAAGTTTCTTGGGAAGGCACAGTTCTGTTGGGAACAGGCAGAGCAGAATGTCCAGGGTCACAGTGGAGTAGAATATGTAGGCTTCAAGTCAGGATTTTAGAATGCATTTTACTAAATTACCACACCCCTAATAAAGTTTCTTGGGAAGGCACAGTTCTGTTGGGAACAGGCAGAGCAGAATGATGGTCTTGACAGAGGCCCATGAAGGTCCACGTTCCACAGAAGCAAGGCAGTGGGTAAATGTGAAGAGATGCCCCACCCCCACTCCTGCTGGAGAGAGGGGCTCAGTCAGAGAATATGACTGAAGGTGGTGCAGGAGCCCATTCCTGGCTCAGTCAGAGAATATGACTGAAGGTGGTGCAGGAGCCCATTCCTGGCTCAGTCAGAGAATATGACTGAAGGTGGTGCAGGAGTCCATTCCTGTCC